AGGTGAACTTTAAATCTAATTCAATCTTATAAAATTAGTTTATAAAATAAGATTTACATTCACTAGTTATATACTCTAAATTCATCTTACTAATCAAGGTGAGATTTCAACACACAATTATCATCACTTTCCAATTCATCAAAATCCTATCAGTGTTACTTAACATGAAGGCGTTGTGTTCCAAAAACTTTTTTCAACGCATGTATAACGTATTCATGTATAAAGATCTGCAGATTAATATCCAAATTGGTTCATTAAAAGGAGTAATTTCAATCTATGATAAGAAAAAACAGTAATTAATACTTTAACAACAGACTCATGATTTGTTATGCATGTGCCATGTATTGATGTTGATGATGAACAACAAAAGGGTTCTTCACTAACCTTTTGAATAATCAATGGTTACTGATGTCTGATCAATATGTTTGGGCAAGTCATAGCTTGGATAATCAGGAAACTGGCCATTGGGTCCAATGGCAAATATGAGATTGGAAGAAGGTTGAGTGGTCTTCAATTGGAAGATCAAGTAACCAAGTGAACCAGTTGCTGGAACAAATGATGCATTCATAATATAAAGATCACTTCTGTCTTTAATCACTTCATCTTTTGATTTTCCACCCAGATAGTAATATTTCATGCCCCCAGCACCTGGAGATGGCATCCACCCCACAATGGCACTAGAACCCACCATGCTTCCATCTTTCGAGAACCCTATCGCTGCATAAGCTTTTGGGTCTAATGGGAATGAAAATATGAAGCTCCACACATCTGATGAAGCCTTAGCATACTGATCAGAGAACCAAACAAAAACAAGAAAGGTACCTGATTAAATTTTTAATGTTACACTCAAGTTCAGTTATGTATATTTCAAATACTCTAATGAATATATTTGAAGTGTTGTTATTCATATGATGAAGCTGTATAAAACCAATGCTTCTGAAAAGTTTATTCAGAGTCTGTTGACAGAAAAATGTAAGTCACATACTCTAAGGATGAAACTGTGAGCAGGCCAAACAGAACTGCAGAGGAGTGAACTTGTATCGAAAGGGATAGGAAGCTGAAGTTGCTGCAATTTAGAGGAGCATGAATCTTGAGAAGTCACAAAGGTTGATGAACTATAGAGCATAATGAACAAGATTATCTGACAGAAACTTGTTAACTTCATCTTTGTGTGGAGGAAGACAATTAAGCACCAAAGACGGCAGAAGTAACTACTCAGAGTGTGTCACTAATTATGTAATTTTATAGTGAAAAATGTTAGAGATTGTAAATGGTTGTTTTTGACAATTGGCATTGCCGGCTGGAACAAGACATGCAGGCACTGCTATTGTTTCATTCAAATGTTAGAGAAGACCAACCAGCCAACTGCGTACGGTGTTAATTTTAAGCTTCACAATCAACCAAAATGGTATCATAATAAGTTAGTTTGAGGAGGAGACTTTGTTGTTGGAACTACTGTCTTGTAGAATACCTCTTATCATGGTAATAATGATATACCTTCATAATGTGACTTGAACTTCTGCTATATAAAATAGGAATATTGAACTGATAAAAAATAAAAAGAGTTGACATTAGTATATCTTAATAATATTTTTAATCATTTTAATTAATTTTCTTTGTGTATGCAAAATAATAATCAGGCATTCATGTATGCATGTGAAGACTCATAATTGTGTGAATCTTGCATAGGAATATGCTGAAAAAAAACAATTCTGATGTATAAATTAGACTTAGGTTAAACTTTGACATTAATTAATGTTATTTTTACTTCATATTCTCACTCTGTATGTTTCTACTTTTTTATTTTCATCCTTAAATTTAATAATACTAGTTGGTTGGTTTTTGTTTTAGTTTATGGAGTCAGGTCAAGTCTTCTCACAACAGTTTTCAAACTCTAAGCACAGGTTAAAGTTCTTTTTCCTCTTTACACTTGTCACCATTCGATTAAATTGGGAAGCTATGTGCAGAAGGCACTTCCATGTTAAAATTAATAAATGTCTCACGGAAATAGTAATAAATGTGCAAGGAATGTAACTAACCTACCACAATATCACAAACCTATGATCAACCGTCCAGTTCTTGGATTGACCTGACAGTCCGGTTCTTGAGCTGATCGGACGGATAATACTATATATTTTTCATCTCCACGTTTAGGAAATTCGAAAAAACTGGAGATTTAATTTAATTATTACATTATAACTACTATGTGTAGAATTGTGTCTTTTGTTTATAAAAAAATTGCAAACTTCTCACATAATTTAGTACAAACCAGTTATTAAACGTTGGGGATGGAAATCTATTTTTTAATTAATGTATGTTTACTTTATCAACCATAGAGTTTCGTACAATCTCATTTTTATATAATGTAATGGACTACTGAGCAATTTGTTGAAGCTAGCTTTGGCATTAAGAGGAAGAGGCATGCATAATTAAAATATATGTTAAACATAAAATTAATTGATGAGCAATTCTCTTGGTACAAAAATAAGTTACAAATGGAAGTAAAGTTGAAAATAAAAGGCAGTGGTGAAAGAAATTAAAATGTATGAAGGAAAGAATTTTTAGTCTTTACTGCAGAGTTGTGTCTCAAAAGTAAGTGCCATTGTAAGTAATATGGCCAGCACAATACCATAACCTATATTCCATCCACTTCCCTNACATGCAGGCACTGCTATTGTTTCATTCAAATGTTAGAGAAGACCAACCAGCCAACTGCGTACGGTGTTAATTTTAAGCTTCACAATCAACCAAAAGTTAGTTTGAGGAGACTTTGTTGTTGGAACTATTGTCTTGTAGCATACCTCTTATCATGGTAATAATGATATACCTTCATAATGTGACTTGAACTTCTGCTATATAAAATAAGAATATTGAACTGATAAAAAATAAAGAGTTGACATCAGTATATCTGAATAATATTTTTAATCATTTTAATTAATTTTCTTTGTTTATGCAAAATAATAATCAGGCATTCATGTATGCATGTGAAGACTCATAATTACGTGAATCTTGCATAGGAATATGCTGAAAAAAAAAACAATTCTGATGTATAAATTAGACTTAGGTTAAACTTTGACATTAACTAATGTTATTTTTACTTCATATTCTCACTCTATATGTTTCTACTTTTTTTATTTTCATCCTTAAAGTTCTTTTTCCACTTCACACTTGCACTATTCCATTAAATTGGGAAGCTATACACAGAAAGCACTCCGATACTAAAGTGAGTAAATGTCTCACAGTAATAATAATTAATGTACAAAGAATGTAACCAACCTATCACAATATCACAAATCTATGACTAGAGTTGATTTAATTACGTCTATAACTATATTTAACGTGAACTCCAGTTTTAGTTTGAGATTCGGTTTTTCAACCAGTTCCCATGAAATCGTAACCTAGTCAAGTCCAATTTTTGAGCTAACTGGACAATTTGGTTCTTGAGCTGATGGAACAATTATATTATATATTTTCATCCCCACATTTAGGAGATTCGAAAAATCTGGAGATTTAATTTCATTATAACTACTATGTGTAGAATTGTGTCTTTTGTTTATAAAAAAATTGTAAACTTCTCAAAGTATTTAGTACAACACCAGTTATTAAACGTTGGGGTGGAAATATATTTTTTAATTAATGTATGTTTACTTTATCAACGATAGAGTTTTGTACAATCTCATTTTTATATAATGTAATGGACTACTGACAGCAATTTGTTGAAGCTAGCTTTGGCATTAAGAGGAAGAGGCATGCATAATTAAAATATATGTTAAACATAAAATTAATTGATGAGAAATTCTCTTGGTACAAAAATAAGTTACAAATGGAAGTAAAGTTGCAAATAAAAGGCAGTGGTGAAAGAAATTAAAATGTATGAAGGAAAAAAATTTAGTCTTTACTGCAGAGTTGTGTCTCAAAAGTAAGTGCCATTGTAAGTAATATGGCCAGCACAATACCATAACCTATATTCCATCCACTTCCCTCCTTCCCTAATTGGATTCCATAGAAAATGTTAGCCACGGCTAGTATAATCAAAATTCTCCCCATGTTATGATGGTATAAATTCCAATACTTTCTCACTTTTGATTCCTTCTTTGGTCGACCAAGCAAAGCCATTACCTACAAAAACCATATAAAGTTTTTGAGTATTCCAAAGGATATATAGTTTGAAAAAGTTTAAGATAAAGTGCAGAATTATTTAAAATGTAAAGTATACCTGGAAGCAGGCTAGAACGAAAATGATGATTCCAAGAGCCTTGTGAAGAGTAACGTCAACATGGAGTTGATTATTCAACACAAAACCACTAATTACACCAATTACTCCAAGAACAAAACCCAAGAATTGAACTGAAGCGTGAAAATAAAACCAAAATGGATCCCATTCCCTGAAGTAACGAGCAACTATTGCTCCCATTATGATTAGGATGCCCCATCCCAAGATATTCAGCACTCCATGGCTTCTTTT